TCCATGAAAGTGGGTATACTGGGTGGGTATCAGATAGGTATCTCGTTATCGTGAGTAGAGCTATAGTGGRAGGCTAACATCTTTGTAACAATGGAGATGGTCAAAAAAGAATGCCTCTTGACTTCAACTGACAGTAAATTATCAGTGTTAATATTTTGAGAAGTGCATCCGTATTAGTGATACATGTTTTATTGCTAAGCACTGGAAACTGTTCGAATGTTTATAGTTTATTTTATTTTAGTTTAGTTTAGTTGTCACAATGTAAACATATACATTTTATAAAACTTGAAACATACAAATTTTGTGACTGGTGAAGAAAACAGAACTTTCGTACAGTGGTTTCGTATTTTCCCGACCCAGTTCAAAATATAGAAAGAAGAATTGAAGACTAAGAAAAATATAWAAGGTATGAGTTACTAAGCTGTTTATATTAATGAATCGTTTTCCTTCGGTATGTGCGTTAAAATAGGTCGCTAGATTTTTGGAGTGGGGTACGCGAAATGGAAGTGCCATTTTCCAAACATCTAAATGCTTCAGGTATTAATTTTGTACCTATTGCAATTTAAATGACTATAAATATACCTCAAAACCTGCATAGTAGTGGTTTGTTATTAACATTCTATAAATACACGACCATATTATCATTATCATTATCATCATCACTATCATTATTGTTGTCGTTATCATTATCACTATCATTATTATTATCATCATCATCATCATTATCATTATCGTCATCATTATCATCATCATCATTATCGCTAGTCGTTGCAATATGCAAGTGGAATGCTGCGAGTGCCATACAGAGTGATGTAAAGGATGATTACTAGTGTTAATAAGATATATATAGATAGTTACATACAACAAAATATGCAAAACCGTCTAGATGCAAGGGGCAACAAGGACGAACGTGTTTTAGGGCATTACTTGTGTTTCTTTATGAATTTGTTCCTATAGATGTTATTGAGGTATTAMGGYGTGTAAGYCCATGACAATAGTRGGAAAACAATACAGTKTCTATAGYGTAKAAGGAAAGCAACTATAATAGCATACGAAAAGTAATTGGTCTATAAACTCTTTTTRTAAATACATTCAATCAACAATTAGAGAAGAATACAAGAAAGGTTATAAATAGCATAATGTAATAAAAATAGGTGTATCATGGAGGCCAAGTGGCTGGTGTCTTTATAAAAATSAATGAAAAATATATATGCAATTCAGTACAACATAAATACATTAGTTACTATATGGAACAATAACTTTACAAAATAATTATTGCTGTTCGATAGTTGCAAAGTCAATCTCCTTCGGCAAGGATGTGATCTACAGTGATGGTAGYCCCTGAGTGTTCAAGCGAAAAATTCTGTGCGATGCTGAAGGACTCATAAAACAACATTACATACACATACAAACATACAGACTTTATTTAAACACGGAATAAATCATCAGTCAATATCAAAAAGAAAATACATTTACATGATAGTTACTGTTTTACATGATTGCCGTGTGGGAACTAATATTCATAAAGAAACCTGGTTAAATTTACTTTTAAAACTAGCTAATGAACCAGATTTTCTTATTTCCTGGGGTAAGTCATTCAATAATTTAGCACCAYGGTAACTGAATGCACGTTTTAAATAATCAGTATGTGGTTTGGGAATGTAAAGTTTGTTTACTTGGTCACGTAAGTTGTAAGTCGTCCTGCGAGGTAAAAGTATATCTTTTAAATACACTGGAGTAAGCTCACGTATTGTTCAGTTTAAACATGGTTATTGCCTTGAGCTTTTTCCGGCGTGTGTGAAGATTATCCCATCGTAAGGCCCGAAGAAGAGTGGTTGAGCTAGTTTCATAATTGCTTTTAGTGATCACCCTGGCAGCAMKATTTTGCAGTTTTTGTAGTTTATCAGACAAACGGTTACTTGACCCATCCCAAACTGGACTGCAATAATCAAAGYGTGGTTGGATTAAGSCCTTATATATTGTTAGTGCAGTATCTAAAGAAATAAATGGTCAAACTCTTCTTAGGGCACCAATCCCTGATGCGATTTTCTTTGATATTTCACCAACATGTTGTGAGCAAGAGAGTGTGTCATCAATAGCGATTCCTAATGATTTGGTGTGACAAACTCTCTTGAGATTTTCCTCATCTATCTTTATTTCAATCTCGTTATTATCTTGAGCTTGAAGCCTTTGTCGTGATCCAATTAACATGAACTCTGTCTTTGCTATATTAAGACTTAACCTATTTGCTTTAAGCCAGCAATTAAGATTGAAGAGTTCAGAGTTCATTCTAATTTGGAGATCGTTTAGGTTATTTGCAGATAGGCCAATATTAGTATCATCGGCAAACATGTTCGTTTTGGTTACAGTAAGACAGTTTGGTAAATCATTAATATATACTAAGAAGAGAAGCGGACCGATTATACTCCCTTGGGGAACACCAAGAGTTAGTTGGCGTGAATCTGAGAGCGTGCCATTCACGAGRCACTTTTGATTACGATCACTTAAGTAAGATTGGAACCACGCAAGGGCATTTTGATCCAAGCCATAGTTACACAGCTTACGCATAAGAATCTCATGGTCAATGGTATCAAAAGCCTTTTTGAGGTCGATAAAGATAATTCCGTTAATGAGTCCATTATCGATATTAATCGACCAGGTGTTTATTTCTTCAAGTAGTGCTGTAGTGCTGTAAGAGTACTATGAAGAGACCGAAATCCCGATATGCAGTTTGATAGTAATCTATTTTCGTTTTCTRTTTTCTAAGTTGATMGTATATGAGTTTTTCGAAAATTTTTGAGACAATAGGTATAACCGATATTGGGCGATAATTATTGAGGTCCGATTTTTTCCCTTTTTTAAACACAGGTGTTACACGTGCCAGTTTCCACTCTAACTGAAATACACCTGTAAGAATAAACTGCTCAAATATTTTGGTAAGCGAGGGGGCAACAATATCTGCTGCTATTTTTAGAAGTTTACAAGGAATTTTATCTAATCCCATCGCTTTCCTCTCATTAACGTTAATCAATAACTCACGAACAGCATTTGTACTTGGTGCCTGGAGAGAAAAGGATTTATCAGTGGGGGTTAGGTATGGTTCCGGGCAAACATTGTCTTCCCCATGAACTGTCACCAAATCCTTCGTGACCTTGACGAATGCTTCCAGCAATAAACATTTTTAGATTAGACWTTACTACAGTGGGAAAGATATATTTCAGCTTTACTCGCACTTTGTTGATCTCGACGACGTATGTATACCAAACCACGAGGTCTTGTTAACGTTTTACGCATAAATTAATGATGACCTCCACTGAACATATATACCGCATACTCCGAAAATCATCGGGACAGACTCAAAATCGAGCAAATCGAAATTTCATTATGGGATACAGCACACAGGGATCCCAACTGTAAAGAATGGTATTGCTGCTCGCCTGGCGGCAGAATCATCATCATTATCATCATCATCATTATCATCATCATTATCATCATTATCATTATTATCATCATTATCATTATCATCATCATCATTATCATCATCATTATCATCATTATCATTATCATCATTATCGTTATGGGTTATCGTTATCATCATTATCATTAACATTATCATTGTCACAATATCATCGGCCTCATTATCATCATCATTATCATCATCATCATCATTGTCATCAATACCATCATCATCATTAATATCATAACATTAACTAGTGGGAACGGTTATGACTTGACACATACCCGAAGAGCAAATGAAGTTATTCAACTTTTGTCAGATTTTTTATGGCATCCAGTAATTCTGTGTGAATAGTCAACATTGAAAACCAAAACCCGTGGCATTTTAAAMTACTCGTWTTGTTCTGGAGAACGTGCATTCCTTACTAAAAGACCTTGATTAATTGATTGATTAATTGARGACTTTATTTAAAGAGGGYGACACGTAACAGTAATTTTGTTAACTRATTAACTTGTGGYACTCGAGTTTTTTTAGCACGGGCACTGAAGATGGTTGTCACCAGCGTCTTCAGTGGATCTCTTATGTCCGCCTTATACAGGGTTATATAGTGAAGGCAGACGGGGCCTACGGTTTTAAGTCCTTGTCCGAGAAGAYTTGAAGGTCTAAYCATTTGCACAAATAATTACAAAGGCAGCACCTTCTCCTCAGTTATTTTAAGACCCTGAGTACGTGTTGGTTCGGCCGAGGCTTGAACCACGATCTTCCGCACAACAGACCGACGCTYTTACGGTAAGAAAAGAACTTATTTATACACAMTCGAGGCCAAGACTGAGCAAAGGCGAACTCGAAATGGGAGCATACATGATAACTCATTAAAGATTATTTCGTACAACAAATACCAAACCTTCTCGGATATAAATAATAACTCCTCCGCCTGTCTTGCATCCCTCACTGTCCCGTCTTACGAATAGTTATTGGTAAAGATGGAGYCAAAGCAATGAAATCTGATCACGATAACAGTAGATAGTGGTTAGACCTTCAAGTCTTCTCGGACAAGGACTTAGGCCCCGTCTGTCTTCACTATATAACCCTGTRTAAGGCTTACGTAAAAGATCCATTGAAGACGCTGGTGACGACCATCTTCAGTGCCCGTGCTAAACAGTGCCCACTGTAATTGGCTATGCTGTTGTGGTGTCCCTGCCCTCATGGGGGGGAAAAAAAATCATAAATCAGTAGCTAACGACAGCTTTGGAAAATAGCCATATTTGAGTTTTGTCGTTTTTGGCTGGTACTGTACAAAACAACAATATTCATTTATTAGTTTCTTAATTTTATTATTATCTTCAAAATATTGCTTTAATTAAATGCTAAAAAAAACAAAAACAAAAAACTAACGAATAATTTGAGCGGCAATCGAAAATGTAAACGTTCTGCTTTTCCCTTTCGTATCAGCTGCCACCTTTTCAACCCCATGCCCAGTTCATATCTATGCCCAACAACCATGATTGATTTTGCTCGCCAGGGATCTTATTCAAATCGAATGATAAGCCTGTAATATTGTATRATCAGTTTAAATTCATAAAAACTTGTGATTGACACAGGGAACCCGGCTATATTTTTTTGCTTCTTTTAGAAAAGTAACTTTGCTCTTTGTGGGTTTCCTGTGTTG